GTTTGTTCTGTTTGTTGCTAAGCAGCGAGGCAGCGGTCGCCACTGAGACGGTCTCCGGAGAGATGATGGACGAGTCGATGTACGACACAGAGAGGTCAGAGGTCAACTTCCCACTGGACGCCTCCAGGTTTAGACGGTTTAACTCCTGCAACGCACAAAAAAAAACCCCACACACTTTACTAACAATACTACTGCAAATACTACAAATACTACTGCAAATTAAATACTACACACACACAAACACACACAGACGTACGCACCAGCGTGTCCTGCGGCGTCTCCATCAGCGCCGTGTCCAACCGGTGACTGGGATTCTGGTTCTGGGCGGGGCTTACAGGCTGAGAGGGTGGAGCCATCTGTGGGAGTCGAAAAACCTGGTCCGGATCCAGCTTCTCCCCTGGAACGTAGTTTATTCAGAGTAGTACTCAGAGTATTAGTACTATAGTACTGTAGAGTAGCCCTACAGTAGTGTTCTTACTGAGGTGGCAGTAGTAGCAGTAGTAACAGTAGCAGTACAGTAGTATAGTAGTACTACAGTAGTATAGTAGTACTACAGTAGTAGTTGTATTATTGTAGTTCTTACCCAGGTGGCACAGGCTCTGAAACGGACTCCAGTTGAACGGATTCAGACTCAAACTCTTCTGGAAACACTCGGCTCCTTTGGCCGCCCGGTCTGTCTGACTGTAAGAGGCAAAAACCAGGTCTGAGCCAGGACTAAACCAGGACTGATTCTTATGCACACTCTGGAGTCACAGTGAAGCTGCTCGACTTGTTAGTGTTACTGTTGTGTTTCGTTCTGGACCTGGCGTCCACATGTGGACATAAATGTCCAACACATTTTGACTTGTTCAGGCTCTTATAAATAATAATAATAATAATAATAATAATAATAGTTTTTGCAAATCATTATTCAACTGTGACTTTATTATGCTCCATCAAAATGATTAAAATGTAAAATGAATGTTTTATCACACGTGGACATTTAAATATAAAAATATCATTTGTTATTTGGGCTGATTGTTTTTGCAATCATCAGGTCCCAAAGAGAAATCAATAAATGCAAGGAAGAGCTCGGGTCCCCGGAGCTCGGGTCCCCGGAGCTCGGGTCCCCGGAGCTCGGGTCCCGGAGCTCGGTCCCCGGAGCGTCCGGTCGGGCCCGGAGCTCGGGTCCCCGGAGCTCAAACCTTGTGACTTGGTTCAGTTTAATTTGTACAGATCTGTTCTCTCAGTTTTAGAGTTTAACTTGACCAGAACCTCAGAGACCCGAGTCCCATTTAAGAACAATTCTCCAGGTCACAATAGTAGTACTAATCGTACTCGCCCTCGGTAGTACTCGTAATACTCTTAGTACTTCTCACCAGTAAATGTGTCCGAGCAGAGACAGGGTGAACGGCGCCGAGTCTCCAAACTCGGCCACAATGTCGTCCTGAGATTTCTGTTTGTTTAAAACTCCTCCAACGAGAACCTGCTCCCCCTCAGCAAGTCTGCAACACACAAAAGTACCACAAAAGTACTACAAAAGTACCACAAAATAGTACCACAAAATAGTACCACAAAATAGTACTACAATACAACAGCAGACAGGAGTAGACAGGAGCAGACAGGAGCAGACAGGAGCACTTACTTGCTGAGCTCCACGCAGCACTTGGCGAGCAGGAAGCGGAGCTGGGGGCTGCAGCAGGAGTGAGCCTTCAGGAGGCGATAGGCTTTATACGCCTTCCCCGAGCGATAGTAACATGTGGCCAGGAGATACAGGGCTTCTTCAGACCGCACTGAGGACACAAGACCAGAGTCAGACCAGGACCAGGACCAGAGTCAGACCAGGACCAGGGCCAGGTACAGAGATCAGGGTTAGACCAGAACTAGGTCCAGTGTATCTAGGTAGGGGAGTTAATAGTCTCACACAGACACACACAGACACACACACACACACACAGAGACACATAGACACACACACAGAGACACACAGACACACACACAGACACACACACAGACACACACACACACACACACACACAGACACACACACACACACAGAGACACACAGACACACACACAGACACACAGAGACACACAGACACACACACAGACACACACACACACACACACACACACACACAGACACACACACAGACACACACAGACACACACAGGTAAATACCTTCTGCGTAGAGTCTCTCTGCCAGAAACACTGCGTCCAGGTACGAGTAATGGTTCAGGGCCTGCCACACCGCAGCCTGGACACAACAGTTTAAACACTTTACATCCATTTAAACACTTTTTACATACGTTTAAACTCATGAACATGAGACAAATCAGCAGTTTGAACACTAGAAATGTGATAAAATACACTAAACACAAGCCACACATTTAGTGACTCAAACAGCCCTGCGGCGCCTTCAGGTTTATTTAAATCACAGAAATATTTTAAACTGGTTTATTTAAATCACAGAAATATTTTAAACTGGTTTATTTAAATCACAGAAATATTTTAAACTGGTTTATTTAAATCACAGAAATATTTTAAACTGGTTTATTTAAATCACAGAAATATTTTAAACTGGTTTATTTAAATATTGTTAAATATTGTGAGTCCCACAGGCTCCGCAGAGGCTAATGTGGCTAACAGCTGATGCTAACCTTAGCACCGGCGGCTAAGTGCAGTTAGCATTTCAAACCCGCAGGATTCACCGTTTAACGCGCAGACAGGTTCTATCCCGAACCCAACCGGGACCAGCCGAACCCGGGGACTGACCCACGGGTCCACACCCGCGGGTTCTACTTTATTTCCCCAAGTGAAGGATCGGTTCCAGACAAAGCTAACTGCGGCGTTAGCCTCTGAGCTAACGACACAAACACTGCGGCAAAGTGCCAATAAAACAATCAAACCTCCCGAGGCCAAAATGAGCCCCACACTCAGATTTAGCACCGATTTACCCGAGTTTACCCGGGACAGGCCACAAGACCAGACCCGCGTCTGATGTGGCACAGAAACAGATTTGACAAACTGCATCAGAACCCTGATTTAACTTTAGGACATTCGCACACAGCTGACTTTAGAACACACAACTGACTTTAGAACACACTTTAAACACATTGTTCACGTTTCCCGCTGAAGCCGAATGCGAAACCACAGTTTTATGAACAATTCGGCTTGAATAAAAAACACTCTAAACTCGTAGTTTAATATAAATTAGAATAATACGTGCAATAATCTCAGAGATTCCCCCAGATCTGCTGCTGTGAAATGAAGAGCGATACAAAGACATAAAGGTTTTCTGATAATGACATTTAAGTGATTATAAAATGGGTTTGTTTTAAAGTGATTCTGTGATAAATCCGGGTTAGAATCACACACGTAAACAATAAGAGTCCGTGATTCCATGATTCAATGATTCCTCCTGATTCCACCTGGTCTATGACAGCAAACAGATTCATTCAGGATTCATTTATGATCTGATTCAGAATAAACGCCAAAAAATAAAAAATAAAAAGGAAAAAAAAAAAGCTCCAGATGAGGGGAAGACACCAGAGGTTTGTGCAAACTCAAAAACTGAAAAGATAAACGAAATGGACCTAAAATGCACCGAACTCGTTTGAACTTGAAGTGGCTTCATTTCTCATCACAATAATGATTCTCTCTGAGTTTGACATGAGCCGAACTCATCTGCGCCACAGAACTCACAAGAATCTGGACAAATGTCCTCGTCAAATAGTCACGGCCAACAAATGATTAGGTTTAGTTTAAATTTGGCCAAATTGTGATGAAGTCTGGTGCGCTCTGTGCCTGTTCACGTTTGTCTCCTTCATCGAATCTAAGACTAAACAGCGTCAGGCCCAAGTCAGAACCGGACTACAACCCGGATCTGGACCCGGTACTGGACCTGAAAGACGCGATCAAACGCCCAGAAGCGGACCCCGGAGCTCCGTAGTGACAGCGGACAGCCTCGCTCCCTGAGGCCGAGCTGCAGCGTCTGTCTTCGGCCTGCAGTCCCCCGCTCTCCCGGGCCCAAGACCCTCACCTGGACCGGCTCCTGGAGCACCGTCATTCCGCCCCACGGCTCCGAACGGCTCCGACACGCGTGTCCCGGGGCTGTAACGCCGTCTGCTGCACTTCTCCGCGAACCGAGGCCCGAATCTCCGGTATATTCCCGGTCTGTACCCGGTCTGTACCCGGTCTAAACCCGCCTCTGCACCGTCTCTGTCCGCACACAGGCTCCGGGCCCGAGCTTTGAACACAGCGACCGTTACGATCCGGAAACTGGCGGAGACTACCGAAGAATCCCGAGCGGCTTTCACGGGAGCTGACGGAAAAAGCCGAAGAGCTGACGGAAAGAGCCGAAGAGCTGCGGGTGACGGAATGAGCCGAAGAGCAATTTTATGAACATACTGTATATTTTTAAAAACTTATCAAATATTATATAATCAAGGAATCAGTTATTATATCCAAGCATTTTCTATGCCACTGAAACTGAGCTTGAGCACAAGAAGAAAAACAAAATCTGCATCTTTTTTTTTTTTTTTCTTTATTCAAGAATAAGAACAAAACTATCTGTGGATAATTTCTACTTTACAAACAAAAAGGTTGTTTAATTTTTACAATGCGTTTAAAATATGGAAATAAAAGTTAAAAGTAAAACAAATGTAAAAATATGATTTTATCATGAAGCTGCAGTTCCTCAAACGTGCCACAAGATGGAGACAGACTCACACAGAAAGATTTACTCTTCAACACAACTACGTCATATTATTTAAGATTTATGTTTTAATATATTATTTTAATGGAACAAAAATACTAGTCTGATATAGTACCAGTTAGGTCTTGGTTTAGTCCCAGTCCAGTCCTGGTATAGACCTGGTTTACCCCTGGCTCAATCCTGGTTCAGTCCTGGTTTAGTTCTGGTTTAGTCCTGGTTTAGTTCTGGTTTAGTCCTGGTTTAGTCCTGGTTTAGTTCTAGTTTAGTCCTGGTTTAGTTCTGGTTTAGTTCTGGTTTAGTCCAGGTTTAGTTCTGGTTTAGTTCTGGTTTAGTTCTGGTTTAGTCCTGGTTTAGTCCTGATTTAGTCCTGGTTTAGTTCTGGTTTAGTCCTGGTTTAGTTCTGGTTTAGTTCTGGTTTAGTCCAGGTTTAGTTCTGGTTTAGTCCTGGTTTAGTCCTGATTTAGTCCTGGTTTAGTTCTGGTTTAGTTCTGGTTTAGTTCTGGTTTAGTCCTGGTTTAGTCCTGGTCGTGGATCAGTGGAGGAGGTGGAGGAATTTCCAAATCTGCAAATCACAAAAACAGAAAGTCATGACAAGAAACAGTCAAAGTGTGTCAGGTGCCCTCACGTGTGTCAGGTGCCCCTCCCGTGTGTCAGGTGCCCTCCCCGTGTGTCAGGTCCCTCCCGTGTGTCAGGTCCCTCCCGTGTGTCAGGTGCCCTCCCGTGTGTCAGGTGCCCTCCCGTGTGTCAGGTGCCCTCACGTGTGTCAGTTTGTCAGGTGCCCTCCCGTGTGTCAGGTGCCCTCCCGTGTGTCAGGTGCCCTCCCGTGTGTCAGGTCCCTCCCGTGTGTCAGGTCCCTCCCGTGTGTCAGGTGCCCTCCCGTGTGTCAGGTGCCCTCCCGTGTGTCAGGTGGCCTCTCAGCAGCAGCTCCAGGGGGCGCTCTTACCCAGGTGCTGCAGACGCGCAGGTAAAGCCACAGGTGAGAGGGGGAGGGGCCAAGCGGGCGGAGCTGTGGGCGGGGGAAGGGGGAGGAGGCGGGATCATGACTGAGAGGGCGGAGCCACAGAAGCAGAGTCAGGAATGAGAAACACACAAACTGTGACATCACACTGTGACATCACACTGTACCCTGAGCTCTTACGTGATTGGCTGGGAGGCAGGAAGAGCGAGCGCGTGAAGCAGCGGGAGGCGGGGCCAGAGCGAACTCTCAGCGAATGAGAGCGCACAGTGGGCGGGGCTCGATGTCGGCTCCTCCTTGAAACTGAAACGGTCAATCAGCAGCAAGAATAGAGAGAAAGCCACTCAGAAAAAAACAGAGATAGCCAATCAGAGAAGAGAGAGAGACAGAGCCAATCAGAGAAGAGAGAGAGAGAGCCAATCAGAGAAGAGAGAGAGAGAGAGCCAATCAGAGGAGAGGGGGTGTTACCAAAGGAGAGGGGGTCCTCTGTGATTGGAGGGGGTGGGGCTTCCTTCGTGAGGTGTGCCTCTGTGAAGTCATCAGGAGGAGGCGGGAAACTGGACTCCTCCAAAACTGAACAAAACCCAACCAACCCAACATATCTGCCTGTCTCTCAGTATTGTAGACTGGAACCTACCTTCTGTACGCTATATTGACTGGCCATGAGGGGGCGGGGCCAAGGGGGCGGGGCCTGCAACCGGACTGGAGGTGGAGGGGGCGGGAACAGCCAAAAAGCAATGAGTCAATCTGATCCACAAGATCTGGGCCGGAGGAGGAGGGGGCGGGGCCACGGTTTCCTCCTGGGGCGGAGCTTCGTTCATGACATCACAGGGGGCAAGCTTCCGAGGTGGGAAGAGGGCGACACAACCTGCCCAAAAAACAGAAAACAAGTACTTTTACTACTACTGATAGTACAAATACTTTTACTACTACAGATACTACAAATAATACTACTTAACTAATACTTTTATACTGAGTAATACAAATATTTTACGACTACTACAAAAATACAGGGTTGGAGGTTGGTGTTGTTTGTTGTGTACTTGTATGTTGTGTGGTTGTGTGTTGTGTTGTGTGGTGTGTTGTGTGTGTTGTGTTGTGTGTGTTGTTGTGTGTTGTTGTGTTGTGTGTGTGTGTGTGTGTGTGTTGTGTTGTGTTGTGTGTGTGTGTTGTGTGTTGTGTGTGTTGTTTTGTTGTGTGTGTGTTGTGTTGTGTGTTGTGTTGTGTGTGTGTGTTGTGTGTGGTGGGTGTTGTGTGTGTGTGTGTTGTGTGTGTTGTGGTGTTGTGTGTGTGTTGTGTGTGTGTTGTGTGTGGTGTGTGTGTGTGTGTTGTTGTGTGTGTGTTGTGTGTGTGTGTGTGTGGTGTTGTGTGTGTGTGTGTGTGTGTTGTGTTGTGTTGTGTGTTGTGTGTGTTGGTGTGTTGTGTGTGTTGTGTTGTGTGTTGTGGTTGTGTGTGTGTGTGTGTTGTGTGTGTTGTGTGTGTGTGTGTGTGTGTTTGTGTTGTGTGTTGTTTGTGTGGATGTTGTGTGGTGTGTGTGTTGTGTGTGTGTTTGTGTGTGTGTGGTTGTGTGTGTGTTGTGTTGTGTGTGTTGTTGTGGTGTGTGTTGTGTGTTGTGTGTGTGTGTGTTGTTGTGTGTGTGTGTTGTGTGTGTTGTGTGTGTTGTGTGTGTTGTGTTGTTGTGTGTGTGTGTGTGTAGTGTTGTGTTGTGGTTGTGTGTGTGTGTGTGTGTGTGTTGTGTGTTGTGTGTCGTGATGTGTGTGATGTTATGATGTTGCGAGACCAACTGTAAGGACCCAGTTGTGTTGGTGTGTTGTGTGGACCACGTTCAATCACCAGGGTGGTATGTGT